AAGTTTGAATTGGGAAAACTCATGGAGCTTCATGGTGAAGGCAGTAGTTCTGGAAAAGCCACTGGGGATGAGACAGGTGCTAAAGTTGAACGAGCTGATGGATACGAACCACCAGTCCAAGAATCTGTTTAAAGTTCAGACTTATAATAGTGGCAAATAAAAAGTCTTATTTGTGATGGTTTGCTTCTGAACATTCTTAGTAAATTTGATAGCTGGTAAACTTTTCTGACCTGTTGTATGGAGTTTACTATCTTCTGCTTCTCACTAGCTATAAAGTGAACAAATTGGATATAAGTGTACTACTATGCACCTTTACCGTGAAGCTGAAAAGGGGCAGAAAAGCTGTTAATAAGCGGGCATTTAGTGCTATCCCCTTCCAGTCACTTGATCATTCAGTTTCTGCCTCTTAAGCCTTCAGTTTTCTCATTTGCTTAGCTGATAACCTTGCTTCCTATAGTCACTAAAAAAGTTGTAAAGCAGATGAGAAAAGAACCCCACAAATTTCCACTACTTCTACTCTGCCACCTATGCATATGTTAATCATTACTGCCTTCTGTCATACCACTGGATGGATTGTGCTAAGACGTAAGACAGCCTTTTTTTTTTTTTTTTTTTTTTTTTTTTTTTTTTTTTTTTTTTTTTTTTTTTTTTTTTTGCCTAATCAGCCTCATGGCTCCAGCAGTTCACACCTTTATCAATTCCTTTTCGCTGTCCTTCCTATCACCATACAAACACTAGTATACCCTTCCAGAGCACCTTAGCCCCTTTATGGCAAAGCTCAAAGGAATTTTTCATATAGCTGTATCATTTAATTTTTTTGATTTTTTAAAAAACTTTTTACACATAAATTATATTTTAGAGGCCAGGCACAGTGGCTTACATCGCTAATCCCAGCACTTTGGGAGGCTGAGGTGGGTAGATTGCTTGAGGTCAGAAGTTCAGGATCAGCCTGGCCAACATAGTGAAACCCCATCTCCACTAAAAAAATTAAAATTAGGTGTGGTGGTGGGTACCTGTAATCCCAGTTTCTTGGGAGGCTGATGCATGTGAATCACTTAAACCTGGGAGGTGGAGAGTGCACCACTCCATTCCAGCCTGGGCTACAAAGTGAGGTGGTCTAAAAATTGCCAAATGTGGTAGCTCACGCCTGTAATCCCAGGACTTTGGGTCGCTGAGGCAGGCAGATCATCTGAGGTTCGGAGTTTGAGACCAGCCTGACCAACGTGGAGAAGCCCCACCTCTACTAAAAATACAAAGTTAGCCAGGCGTGGTGGCACATGCCTATAATCCCAGCTATTCAGAAGGCTGAGGCAGGAAAATCGCTTGAACCCAGGCTGTGTGCCGACGTTGTGCCATTGCACTCCAGCCTGGGCAACAAACTCTCAGAGTATATATGTTTTTGAATATATATTTTTATATATGGTGTGATCATAGATCACTGTAACCCCAAACTCCTGGCTGGGCTCAAGCCGTTCTCCCAGGCCTGAATAACTCGAACACAGGTCTGTGCCACCACACCGTTTTTTTAAGACAGTCTCGCTTTGTCACCCAGGCTGGAGTGAAAGTGATTTCGGCTCACTGCAACCTCCATCTCCCAGGTTCAAACGATGCTTGTGTCTCAGCCTCCCCAGTAGCTAGGATTATAGGTGCCCACCACCATGCCTGGCTAACTTCTGCATGTTTTAGTGGTTTTGCCGTGTGAGCCAGGCTCCTCTTGAATTCCTGCTCTTAAGTGATCCTCCCGCCTCAGCCTCCCAAATTGCTAAGATTACAGGTGTGAGACACTGTGCCCGGCCCACCCTGCTAGTTTTTAAGTTCTTTGTAGGGTCTTGGCTGTTATGTCCAGACTGGTCCCAAATTCCTAGCCTTAAGGGATCCTCCTGCCTGAGCCTCCCAAAGTGCCAGGAGTATAGGTGTGAGCCATGGTGCCCAGCCACATTTTTTAGTTTTTATTTTTCTTGAACTTGCTGTAGTTAGGCTTTTCCCTCACACCACTCCAAGAAATTTCATTGTGAAGATTAGCAATGATTTTGTTGCTAAGTCTGGTGGTCCATTTTCAGTCTTTTACTTGACCTCTATTAGTGATTTTTGCTTGCTGTCACCTCATCCTATTAGTGACTGTTGACAATTGATTTCTTCCTGATTTTAACTATCTTCCAGAACCTCAACTCAAAGCTTTTCCTCTGAAATCACTGGCTACTCATTTACTAGCTAATTTCTTAGACTTTTAATCAGTTTTAGAAGGCCCTAGGGCTTGGTCCTTAGACATTTCTATACTCTCCCTAGGTTCTTGGTTTTAATGGAGATTATTTTTTCAGTCTCTGTAGAGACTCAAAAATTGCCAATGCCGAATATATTGCAAGTCATCACAGTGGGGTATTTGGAAAAGTTTTCAATTAGCAATAATCGCGCCTCGGATAAACCTCATTGGCTACGATACTGCCACTGCACAAAGCTTAATGGAGATTTTTATATTTCTAGCCTATACTTTTCTTTGGGAGATACAGCTTTGTCTAAGGGCTTACTTGATATCCCCACTTGGATGTCAGGCATTTAATGTTCTAAAATGGTACTATCTCAATCGTACCCACCCTTTTGGTTGCTTAGGCCAAAATCCTCTGTGGTCATTCATGACTATTCACAGTTGTTTCAAACTATATATATCTG